TTAGCACTTTATTACCTGTAATTCACAGCCTATGCAGGTTCTGTTCACTACATTATTGGTGTTTGGGTGAATTATACTTTATAAATACAGTATGTGACACTTTTAACGACATTTGAAGGTGTCCATATAAAACAGTGTGAAGACTTGTGCGACTGCCTTTATATGTCTCTCCTGACCTTGAAAATATCATTGGCTGAATCGTAGAAAAGCTGAATTAAGATTGTGTGTAGGGTCGAATCGAGATCATGATCTTTTTTCAGTTAATCGTGCAGCCCTAATTTGGCTTTAGTTTCACTTCAGATCATTTTGTTCAGGCTTGACATTTATAATAAGCATTGTAAAAGCCATCATAACTTTATTTAAAAAAGTATTATACCAACAGTTTGAATATTTCATCGCTGTTTTGAATATTGTTCAACTGTAAAAGGATTTATAATGGAGTGGGCTAAACAAAATATGCAACCAATTAGGGTTGGGCGATGTTGACCAATTTGGCATCGTACGAGTGTGACTGTGTGTGTGGTCACGTGATGTGCGCTTTCAGCAGATGGAGGGCTGTTCAGAAAAGCTAGGTAAAACACGGTGTGGATGTGGATCATTTTCGCTCTAAAATGCCATTTTAATTGTAAGACGTATTAGTGTAAAGAGGGCCTAAGTGTGTATTTTTCGCAAGGAGGTTTGCAACAGGGGTGGGGCGATGCCGGCTTAGCATGGTGTTGTCTATTGGCCATCAGCGATGGAATCGTTTATTGACCCAACCCTACAACCAGTAGCCTATGATGCATTCCTTTCCAAGTGAAATTATAAATCATGACTAGGGATGCTTAAAATAATTAACTGTTAAACAAAAGGGTGCGTTTTTAACTGATTAATGATGTCAGTAAAATGATTAAAAAACATTATTTTTATATATTTTTAAAGTTTGGCTGCATAAAGGGCCGATCACAGTGAACATGCTTTTAGCATTGAGAGGCGCACCTTTTGAATGGTTTACTAAAGGCCGTGAGTGTTTTGTGCGCTAAACATTCTATGTCAAAATAAATTTGTATTTTAAAATGCAATACTTAATGTGTCAGACACAAAATAGACATGTCAATTTTTTTTTAATTAAATAATAACAGAATATTAATCTGACCAGTTAACCGTTAATATTCGGTTAACAAGCAGCATTTGTCGGTTGGCAAAATTAACCGAAATGAGCATCCCTAATCATGACTACATTTTAGCTTGAAATTATATTTTGACTTACTGTCAAGACTTATCTTAACAAAAACAGCCAGTTGAACACAGATTTTCAACTCCAGTAAGGCTTGTCAGCTGGGGGTCTTTGAGAAGCTAGGTGATGATGAATAAAGTAGCACTTTGAATAATAAATAATGTCCATTAAACCTAATTTTTAGCTCTAGCCTTTAATTTTCAGAAGTACTGCCTTTTGTCTACACATACGCCTGTGCAATACAAAAGCTTTGAATATCCATTCAAATCGCAGTCGAAAAGAAGAACGTCACAATTTAAAAGGACGACAAAAAGAGCTGTTAAAAACAAAAAAAAGAAAAACTAGTTAAATTCGAAAGAGTAAAAAGATTAGTGGTGGCTTTGCTCCGAAATTGAGAAATGGCCTACTTACTAATTAGAAATCCCTTTTCAATTGTCAAAGCTCTTGTAATCTTGAATGACTGCTTAATTTCCTATGGCAAAGCTGAGTGATCTGATTAAGCTGTAAAACGTGTCATAACAGCAGGGCTGCCTGCCAGCGTGCCATTGTGAAGCAGAGGGAACAGGCCAGAGCTAAACTAGCGCTTCGCTGTGGGGCTCCGATCTCAGTTAGCCGTGTAGCAAGAATGGCTAAGCGACAGGGCCCTCCATCAGCCTGCGCACTGAATATAATATCCAGAGGGGGAATTCTTAGACTATTCTACGATGACTAATGCACAATTCACATGGTATACAAAGCTTGGGCGCAGCATGAGCCAAGATTCAGACGTTCTGTTGAGAAAAACAAAACATGCTTTTTTAAGTATCGACGCTATCAGCGTGACCCCATTATTTAAGCCGGAGTTGAAATATACATTTCCAATGACGCTTTAGTTTCCACTGACACCACGACAAAAGGTACAACTCTAGGCTGCAGACAGCACAGTAAGCCTTTGTTTCAATCGCTCAGTATTTCATCGCCTGCTAATAAAAGTCAGACCTTGTGAGGTTAGGATGGGGCAGGTGGCACTACATACAAGCATCCAAACATAGACATGTTGAATTACCTCATTATTAAAACTGAAAGATTAAAATTCACCGCACTGACAAACATATTACTCATAATGCCAAGTGTCAGAGATGTTTGATGCAGATTAACACTAATGCCATTAATGTACATACTAAACTTTTGTACATGATTGATACTTCCAATCCAAATAAATAGATCAGAGTATAAAATGAGCCCAAATGTTCTGTTGATTTACTTAAGAAAGAACAAAAAGCAGACGTGAGCAGCATCTACCAGAATAGCTGAACCGTAACCAGCCAGAACATCCTAGCAACGACCCATAAAACCCTATTTTCAACATTTTCTTCAACGGAGGAGCAAAACTAATTAAGGGTCAAGGCAGTAATACCAGAGAGGGCAGATCCCTTAGGAGCTCTCAATCAGGAACGTGTGCTATATTTTGACTTTCAATAATAAACGCAGTACTGCCGATTAAGACCGCATGCTTAAGAGACAAGTGAAGTATTCGCATGGAAACAGTGGCTGAAAAACCTGCACCCGACACAATGAAATATGGGTCTGCGACCCATCTCAAAACTGCCAGCAGAGAACTGCTACGGACATGGTGCCGTTTTAATCTGGGATCAAACTGAAAATCCCTTCCCCCAAGAGTTCAATCAAGGTCATGCCAGCGATTAAACCTAATGTCTACAGAGAGGTAATAAAGCAATGCAGCTGCAGCTGTGGGCTGCACACTGACTCGGCACTTTTCTATACCTTAAAGAAAACATACCTGCTCACAGCCCTTTCAAAGGAGAATCAATTACGTGTAGCAAAATTGACTATGACAATAATAGGTGTATTTCACTGTTGTGCATATGTTTCCATCCAAAAATGTGAATTAAATGTAATAGCAAAACTAGAATATTGCATAAAAGACATGCAAATAAAGCAACGTATCCATCCAGCGAGTCAAAGGTACCGTTTACACAGTCCAATTCAGATTTGTTGCCTAAATCAGATTTTTTTGTGTCCGTTTATACGTTTTAATTGTGAACCATATCTGATTCATGCGTTTACATTTGCCATACAATTTAGGTTGTTGCGCAAGCGTAAAGTCAGGTTTTAGCATCTGCAACATACTAGCTTATGTTTACCGATTCAGCGTCCCTACGCACGCTCTTTCTTCTACATCATTAAACCTCGAAGACAAACCACATTGTCGGAAGTTTAATGACGTACAAAACGTAATGTCTCAATAAATTCGATCTGCCTGTTTACATATTAGTCACATATGCAATTTATATCTGGTTTATTTCCACATATGAAGGAGGCCTGAAACCCATCTCTGAATACCCGAATGGATGCATTTTTTTCGTGTTTAAATGGTTATAGAACAGATCCGATCTGTGTCACATATGACCAAAAAAAATCAGATCAGGGTCACATTTAACTGGCAGTGTAAACGGAGACAAAGAAAACAAAATCGTCTTTTTTCTGATTAACTAGCGCCAAATATCAACAGTAAAAACAGAATTTGCTGCAGTAGGAGAAGCTGCGTGAATCTTTTCTTTATTTAATAAATTACTTGCATCTCACAAGACAAATGCAGACACGCAATGAACGTGCGTGGCGTTTGAAGCCATGAGACGAAGTGTGCAGTCGACGCTCTTGACAGTTCTAGAGGTAAATAATAAAGTAATAACACTAACACCGAAATGATTACGGCATTTTAAAATAACCAAAACAACATTTAGGATGTTTTATAATGCGGTCAGCCTGTTGGTTTGTCTATTCACACACATTTTATCATCACATGACCTCTTATAACAAAAATCACACGACTTTTTCTAATGCGCATATACTGGAATTTGTTTGGTAAGTGTTTCCAATCACAGTTTATGCGCATCTTTTCTTATCGAATAAAGTTTATTCTACTAAGCTATGCGATTTTTAAAAATTTATGCGCATCTTGTCGTTTTTATGCAAAAAATGTATGTGCATATCTAAAATGGAAACGTAGCTATTGATGCACAGAGAACTTTTTCGTACTTTCACATACCAAGTTGTTCAAATTATGGAAGGATTTAATAATAAATGTGTCAAACACATAAGCATATGGCTGCAAGCGGGGCGTCAGGTGCTTTGACAGATTGCTTGTGCCATTTAAAAAAACGTCCATGCAGTTATATTACTCATATATCCTTAATTGTAAATGTTACGAATTCAGATTTAATGAAGTGCATCCCAACAGCAGGCGTTTAGCTGTCAAACCTAAAATACACCTTAGAGCAAGTGTTTGCAATTTGTTTTTTCCTATTCGATTTTTCAGCCACATAAAGAGATGGCTAAATAAAACGTGTGAGAGCAAATCAGCTATTATGAAAGTAACAACAATCCCACAGACTATATGATGGGACTGAAAACACATTTATATTTGACATTAATGACTCATTTGAAATGTCAAACACACAGAGAATGTGTGAAGGCTATATTTAGGATCCCTGATCTTCCTGTTTAGTGGAGAAAAACAATCTACATCTCAATCAGACATTGTATAAGACGCTGGCCGAGGAGTAATGGGACAACAGCAGCGAGCCTCCCAATAGACTGCGGATGCACTAAACTGCGGCAAGATTTCAGTCAAGTGTAACTGACCTGCTCGCTACTGCTAAGACCTATGTGTTTAGAGTGAGATGAAGCAAAGAAAACCATCCAAAAGTGTGTACTTCCTTCACATTATCTCCTGGATATTTTTTTTTTCTGCAAAGCAAAGTGGAAGAGAATGATTATGTACCATCTACTGCCGATGTTTTCAGTCTGTTGCAAAGTCCATTAACGTCCCCATACGTTTCCTGGATTTTTTGTAATCCTTCAGCCCCTCGCAGTTCCATAAGAGAGCGCAGCTCTTTAAGCGAGCAGCCAAACTCTCCATTGTGATTGGGCTCGGCCACAGAGTTCTTCACCCCGCTGTATGAGTTGTTAGCCATGTCTCCCGACCACACCTTGTCTCAGCGAGGGTGGAAAAATGGCGTCCCAAAGGGAGAGCTATATCCTCAGGAGACCAATGCCAGTAGTTCCCATAAACAACTGATGTCCTTCAGAGGCGGAGGAGGAGGATGTCCGACTGCAGGTGGCAGGACTGGGACAATTCACAAGCCATTCCCTCTTTTGCCTATGCCGTTGCTTTCATTGTGAATAAAACCTTACACAATCAGCCCAAGGAGACCTGCAACAAAAGAAGAACATGTGATTACTAGACATACTACTAAACGTGTCTTTATAAATCCAAAACAGAACTGAAGAGCAGAGTTCTGGTGTTGATTTTAAAACAAGACATTAATAAAACACCTTATGTTTAGAAGCTTCTCCATCGTGCCTGAAAAAGAGCAGGAACAAACTCCCTGGCTCAGTTTCAAGGTGACATGCTAGCCACTTTTACAGGCAGAACTATGTGGGCTTTTTTGAGAAGTAGCGTGGGAACTGACCTGCTATCTTAACTATGTGAAAGACAAAATAGTCTCCCCCCCCCCCAACATTACACATGGATGTTCCAACTCGCATGAAAATATTTTGAATTTAGAAACTCATGGAATAACATACAGATTGTGTTGCTAGAATAGAGCACCATTCTCTAAACTATAGTTATAAAGTCTATTGCAAAGCCGAAGCTATGGGTCTGATTCCCAAGGAAGGCATACACGGATCAAATACATTCATTAAATGATATGTACATTCCACTGGATAAAAGCATCAACCAAATGAAGTGCAAATCATTTATTTAATCTGTAAATTAATAAGCTATAGCATGAAGGCTGAAAGAGGAAATGTATCTGTGTATCAAATCAGTCATTTGAAAGCTTTCTGTGAAAGAGTGATTCAGCGTCTTTCTCTCTCCCAATGTGCAAATGGCTTTACATCAGCACATTATGACAGTCACAGTTGACAGAATTTGGCAGATTTGTCATTTGCTGGAGCTGATCATTTTTGAGTGGTCAGTAAAGTTTACCATTGGCACATCTTTTAAGGAGCTCATTCAAAATGACAAGTCTTTATCTGCTTACAATACTGAATTAAGTTCTTGCACTTGAATGGACAAATCCATGCAAAATGATGTCCATCTTGTCATTTATAACTAGGCATGGGCTGATATAAGATTCTGACGATATGATAACCTTGGATATCATGGATCCAAGGTATTATGATTACTGCCCTAAAATAAGTTTATTTTAAATGTCTGGGTAAGAAAAACAACAACCCAACAACCAATTAAACAAAATATATTTTATTTTACGAAACATTTATAATATTTTGGAACAGTAAACATGTCAGGCTAAATTATTAAAATAAATAATTGACTTCTGCTCTCTGTTAGTTTCAAAAACAGATTTTTTTACAACACATTTTTAAAAATAACATTAAAAAAAACCCTTAGAAACAGTAATACAGAATTTTTTTGCGGTTTCAAAACCTTGAATTTGCCAAACTGCAGTAAACCTTGAAACCAGTTATCGTCCCATGCCTATTTATAACAAGTCGATTATAAAATATTGGACGGTACATCCAAAAATTAAATTTCATCTACTCAAGCGTTTTCAAACCATTATCAGTTTCTTTTCATTGACGAACACAAAGAAAAAACTAGCAACCACTGACTTGCATAGTAGGGCAATCTAATACAATGGAAGTCAATGGTTTTAGGTTTCCAGCTTTGAACAAGTAAAGGTTGAGTAAGGCAGAATCCCAATTCTACCTTTTATGCCTTCCCCTTACCCCTCGTTTTGCGCTTTCACGTGAAGGTGTAGAGGTGTCCCAATTCTCTTTAGCTTGAAGGCGTAGGGCTAACGGGAAAGGCTAGATACCACTTGAAACTAAGATTTTTGTTAGAACCACCCTGAAAATCAAGAGGTACAAAAATTTCCCAGAATACACCATCTACAACGGCAGCAAGGTTGCACACTAAAGTAAGAAGATGCACAAATTTGAAAGTTTTTTGTCTATATTATGAATTTTTACAACAAACAAGCATATGTTTTAATGCGTTGATATACGCCTTCAGGTTTTTTTACGATCATGCTTTAAAAACAAAAACTCCAAAATAAAAACCGCTAAATATCGCAACCTATAATCCATAATAACTCCTGTATAGCAGTCCTACAACATACTTTCACATCTGAAACTTGATGACACTTGAATCCCCTGTCAGAAAAGTCTAGTGGCTAGGAATGACCTTTTAACAGTGTCTGGCATCACGTTAATATTGTTTTCTTGTGTTAACATAGATAAATATGGCCACGGTGTAAATACACAGAACACTTACTAGCATATTGCCATGTTATATCGTTAAGATAACAAGATATATGCCTACAGTGATTTACTGAAGATAAATACCAAAAAAATAACGCAACTGGAATAACTACAGCAGTCGCGATTGTCGATCTCGTATGAAGCAAGAAATCATGATGACATATGCTGACGTGTGCAGGTGTAGTATTGCTGTCCCATTTCTTAGGGGTAAAATTTGAAGCCCTTCCTCTTCTCACTCTGTTTCAAGGGCCAAAGCGAAGGGGTAGGGGTACAAAAAAAAGAATTGGGTTAGGGCCTAAATGACAGAATTTTTAGTTTAGGGTGAACTATGCCTTAAATCAAACATTTGAAAAATAAAATAACATATTTCCAACAAATGGGATACACGTCAGTCTTAAAGTAGCAGCAGCAAAATATATCATCCATAAGAAGTCACATGCCAGCATCACAAGCTATTGAATGTGAAAAGTCAAAATGTATAGTAAATATGGCCCCTTAAATGGAAAACTTCTGACCCTGATGTAAATGAAATAACTGTGCTTGAAGTGATAAAAGTGTAAATACACCCAGCGAGACCTTGGACCGCTTCGACAAAGTTCATCTACAATGTTCCATATTGTCATGTACACAAACAGAAGAGAAAGTTCCATATCTGTAACACGCCCTCGAACCGACACACTCTTCAACTTCACAACTTAATCCCACTGGCCATTTAAACAACATTTCTGATTAATGGCTAACAGGACTAACCAAAAAGCAATCCAATCAAGACAAATACAGTCAGATCACCTTACAATCTGTTTTTAAACAAACCCTATTGTCCATGTGGCCATTGAACAGAGCTTTAACATCTTTGATTTCATCAGGAAGATGCTAATGGAATTACAATCAATTCATCAACCACGTCAGAAGCAGGACGAGATCAATTGATCAAATTCAAACCACAAGAGAAGCTAGTGCTGTTAAGAGTGACTTTGCCTGCAAGCAGAAGTAAATAAATAAATAAAGTGTAGTAGCCCTCCAGGTCTGATTTACTTGCAGCAGTACATGCAGAGCAAGAAACAGCATGCTGCTCTCTAACAGGCTACCAACTGGGCAATCAACTTCTCTCACAGCCCATTTCATGAAGAGAAATTAAAGAGAGAAATATTCAGCTACTCTCTCGGGAGCTGAAACCCAGGCCTTGTTTTTTTTTTAATGATGCTGTGACCAAAAAAAGACACAGTAAAAAGCACAATTACCCTTAGCAAATAAAGTCGAAGCGTGTCAAAATCAACAAGCTCAATTTGATCTGTTATTAAAACTGCAAGTGAAAAGGGAAACACCCAGCATCTTCGCACTGCAACTGAAACATGTTCCTTTCAGTGAGCAACTGGTCCTAGAACGTGTATGCGAGAAACGATGACGAGTTACCACAGAGCTTCCTGAAATGACAGTCATCTCAATCATCTCAATCTGACCGATTTCAACATCAAGGCACGTTCTAACAATTCAGAAATAAAGAACCATAAAAAGTGCATGTTTTGAGCACGCTAGTCAACCTTTTCGTCCCTCAGTTATCATCTATGAGTGACTGATCGGCCACGATGAGGGAAGTGCCAAACCTTTGCTGTGCCGTGACAGTTTCAGGTTGCAAAGCCAGGTCACATGTCACAACAGTGGAAAATCATTGTGATTGGATCTTCAAACTAACAGCTACCACAGTATGGTTGAGCAACAGTAATGTTTAACCCTTACTATACATACAAAGCCAGATAATGGTCTTAGTTTGAGGACTGCGTATTCTTTTTTGATGGAGTTAAGGTACATGCTTTCATGCATGTATCCACTGTTATATTCTCCCTCAAAGCTATATACACTTGTCTATGTACCTCCTGTGAATAAATAGTATGTTCGCAAGCAAGTACAACCAAATGCAATGCATCCGAAAGCAGACGCTCCAAGAAAATCAAAGGAAACCCTCTCGGTCTTGGTTGGCAATTGGAGATCCTATACTGTACAAGCCAACTTCGTGATAGTCAAGGACAGCGATTCCAGGGATCCCTCTGCAGTGGAGCTGTTGGTAATGGGGTATTTTTAGCAGTCTCAGACTGCCCACTCCCCATCCCCCCTCGCTGGCTGTTGCTGAAATGGGTCAGGCCATTTCTATGTGGAGGGTACAATGCGGAGACGCCCCGCCTTACTCATGCTACATGGCTCAGTGCACTTAAGGCCACTTCACACCACCGACTGGGCACTTCTAGTATACCCTCAAACACTGATCCTGCCAACTCACTGCAGCCTGCCACCCACTCAAGCACACAAAGCGCAACTCCTTAAGAACAACCTGACTGACACCTTCCAACAAAAAAGCTCCACGGCATCACAAGCATTGTGAGATTAATGCCTTATTTTCAACAAGCGGTGTGGGTCAGTATGGCTTGATACAGGTCATCCTGATAAGGATGCTTGCTTGGTAGGTGTGGTGCATGTACATAGAGATGACATTTGACGTAGTGATTCGAGTTTGGTTCATCGCTGCACACAGTCATTGTATTATTACAATTAGGGTTGTCGCGATACCATTAATTAATCTTACAATACTATACCAGCTGAATCATCATGATACCAAGTAGTATTGCGATACTATAATACATAACTTAAATTATAGAAAAATCTGAAATGCATTAAAATGAAGATACAAATTATACTGAATAAAATTTGTTACAATATAGCATTTTCCCAACAAAATTAGGCGATATGAAGTAGTCAAAAATTGTTTCAGTAATTTAAAATTTCACTTTGTGAGTGGTTCTATTAAAGAGATTGTCGCGGTCGCTAATAAATCATATTTACAGCGACAGAAATGAACCGATTCAGATGTGCGTTCGAACTGAAGCATTAGAAAACATGCAATAGGCTACCAAAAAAGGCGCAAATTTG